CAAATGAAAAGGCTTGAAATTCTTACTGCTGCTGCAGTTCTGTTCAGCTCCCTCAATTCCCCAGAGTTTGTATATTCCTAAAATGGAAGATTTGGCCCTAAAGGAGGCATTTGTACTTGGTCAAAGGAGATTGGTTTGGCTGCTCTGGAGCAAATACCAGCAGGCAGAAAACTTTTCCCTTTTTTCAGAGGGAAAAGGAAGACCACAAAACGTAGGCTCTCTCTCCTTACTCTGGGTAAGGATTAGGTACATCAACCCTGCAAGTTTTAAAGGAGACATATATAAAAACCAAGTATCAGAATCCAGAGTCGTTTCATTGCAGGCATATTTTATCTGGGTGGGCAATGGGCTCCTCCTTTTGAATTTGTTTTTGCCTTTAAGACAAGGGGGTTGATGTGTGCCTTTTAAATACATGATACGGACTGTGACAAACTAACCATACTGAGCTAGAGTCGAGCCTCTTCAGTCCTTGCTGCTCTCAGGCGAGCGTAAACTGGTTTGAGCTGCTTTTCAGTCACACAGCATCACTCCAAGAGAACAAAAATTTCGAGATCATGAATTTTAGGGTTTGCCAAACTTGGCTCAAGTTACAGACATTAAGGCAGCTTCCAAGCCTGTAAATGTTACTTCATGAAATACTTCACCTCAAAGCAGCATTCGGATCTCCTTTAAACACTGTTGCAAATTAGAACCAACTCCATGTGAAATATGTGTAAAATTGGTGAAAGATCAGAATCAGGCAAAGGGCTACTATTCTGATCTGATAGCACTTTGCACTGATGTAAACAACTGCATAAAGATGCAGGAGAACAGAGAATCAGGCACCAGGCTGAAGCCAGCAACAGCTAAAGCCCAAATCCTGCAATGTACAGTGGTTACTTCACATACGTGAAGTTCCATCTTTATTTCCTCTAGCTACAAAAGCATGAAACCATCAGACATCTTTGGACATCATAATACGCAAGACACAGCATTCTGAATGACAGAGCGTGACATTGTTAAATCAAAGCAGATGTCATTAGTGCACACACCCAATTAGCTGGCAATGGTGCCAGAATAATTGTGCTATATTTGCTGTAAAATAATGTAAAATAAAAAGGTCCCTGGTTCCTAAATGAGACACAAGAAATGATCACTTTGAGCTTTTATACTTTCAGTTACATGTGAAGTAATCCCAATTTGACTATATTTGGACACACTTTGTGAGCAGAACAAATTTGCCCCCCCCCAATCTCAGTCTAATTAAACTAATTGCTTAATGAAACTGAATTGTGTGGCTAGTTAATGATCTCTTGCTGGAAGATAAACGCCAAGGCACTTGAGCATAAGTCACGGCTAAGCAAGCCATTTTCAAAGCAGGAAATTAATTTAGTTACCAAGTTAATTGTCTTTCCTATTGCATTTATGCTTCCTGTATCGAGTTATTTTTAAAAATACACAAAACAGGGCTACTGCCTCTACAAGATCTCTGAAGGGATTTAAATTAATATGGCTAGGGGTTGCATCCCTGAAGAAAATATTCTTTTAATCTTGGGAGTCTCTATCTATACACATTCTGCTTTGTCACTACAGTTATTTAGGTGAATACAGTGCTAGTAAACACCACGATTACAGCTCTGGAGAGCTGAGCCCTCTAGTCATTCACAGAACTGGTACAGCATGAGCAGTTGCAGAGTAATGCCCAGGTCACACTACAAAGGTTTTGCTGTAGTAACTATATCAGTATAGTTAAAACCCTCCTGATGTAGATGCTATCAGTATAAAAGTACTTATTGTGCAGTATAGCTTATACTGGTTCCGCAACTTTTATACTAGACTGGGGCTTTTACCGGTACAGCTATGCTAACACATATAGCTATGCTGGCAAAATCTTCTAGTGTAGACCTACCCTAAACTTACCACTATAGCAACAACCATGAGGTCAGGGAGCTAGTCTACAAGCAGGAGGTTCAGTCTCTTTGCGGGCCACTGGTTTGCTATCCTCCCTGGTGAGAACAGCAAGCAGGGAATCTGTGCCAAATGTGATATATCTACTTAAGTATTAGAAACTAGACAGAGATGAACAACTCAAATTCACTAGACTAGACCATAGGAGCAGCTATCAGCAGATAACACTGGTAGGTTACAAAAGACCTAAGTCACATGTGACCTGGGAGAAAGGCTCTGTACCTCAAATGTCTTCAACAACCCTGTCATTTGAATTTTAGGGCCCCTACTTTGTATTGTTTGCTTTAAATTAATTAAAATTGCACTAAACCAAAAAAAAATGCAGGTAGGATAGAGCAACAGATGCTCACTGGACTGCTGTTCAGAAAGCTGCTGCTGTTTCATTAGTTCAGAGCAGACTTATTCAGTACAATTAAGTCCAGCTGACAGGTATTTTTACTCTAGTATGATTGGTTGACCAATTTTGTTTGGCACCATCATGTTAATGGAATTGTGAACCGCTCTATTGCACTAGCATAACTGTCTCCATCTAAACGAGTTACATCATTTAAGAGAGTTTTAAAAATGTAAGATTGACCTGGTTGGCTGGCTGGCAAACTTGACTTACTAGCACTTATAGGACAACCAAAAAACGCCCCCAATCCCTGCACAAAATTTCAGCTACATTAAGATTACATTTGATTCACTTTTTTTTTTTTTAAATTGTGGTACTTAAAAAGAGAGAAAGACTTTGGAATTCAGAACCTGTATTGGGATTCCTTGTGGCACCATAGGGCTGGTCTACATGGGGGAAGGAGGAGGGGAGTGTCGATGTAAGATATGCAACTTCAGCTACGGGAATAGCGTAGCTGAAGTCAATGTATCTTATTTCGATTTACCTCCCATCCTCACAGCACGGGATTGATGGCCGCGGCTCCCCCGTCAACTCCGCTACCGCCTCTCGCTCTGGTGGAGTTCCGGAGTCGACGGGAGCACGTTTGGGGATCGATATATCGCATCTAGACGAGACGAGATATATCAATCCCCGATAGATCGATTGCTACCCGCCCATTTGGTGGGTAGTCTGGATGTACCCTTAGAGACTAACAAATTTATTTGAGCATAAGCTTTCGTTAGTCTCTAAGGTGCCACAAGGACTCCTTGTTCTTTTTGCTGATACAGACTAACATGGCTACCACTCTGAAACTGGTATTAGGATTGGAAGATTATTACGAGTACATAAAAATAATGGGCACCTATAACTTCTAAGTTAAGGCCTGCTTTTCAAGTTGGATTTCTTCAAATCCTCTAACACTGTTTTGAGTGGCATGCAAAAGCATGACTTGAACTAGGACACAAGTCGAATATGTCTGAGTGTGAGACAGCACAATTCTCGGTAGCTGGTTGGGTGAGTGCCAGTAAGTTTGTAGTAGATATGTTAATTTGACTAAGGCAGGGCATTTTTTCTAGGCCCTTTGAAACTATTTCAGACTGATAACCTCCCACCACCCAAAAAGTGATAGCAAATTACTGTACTCGTTGGTGGACATTCATGGTATTGCCACCCTTACTTCTGTGCTGCTGGCAGCTTTCTGCCTTCAGAGCTGGGCGGCCGGAAGGCAACAGCTGCTGTACCTCTCCTCCCCATGGCAATATTTTTTGCGATCTCATGACTCCCCTACAATCGCCTTGCTACCTCCCCCCGTTTGGGTCAGGACCCCCAATTTGAGAAACACTGCATTACAGTGATCAGGCCTAGAGGTTACCTTTTTTAAAAAAAAAAAACTTATTAAACCAATTCCTTTGAAAATCCAGCGAGCTAGTAAAATTTACCTTTTCCTATACATTTGGACCATTTTTGCTGTTTCCTACTAGTTGCCCTTTGCACCCATCCATGTAGGTAGATAGCTTACAATAGCTCAGTTCCCTAAATCACATTACAGAGGATACAGAGACTACAAGAATTGTAAATAACCCTTATATTTAGTACAGATGTGTCTTGTAATCAAACTTTTCTTCCTTAAATTTGTCATTAGCTGGAAGTTAACACCCCAGTACAGTTATTGTGCAAGAATTGTGCAAGTCTGCTACACTGTCCATAAATAACTTTAATCCTATCACTTACAGACCAGTTTTCATTTCCGCTTGGTTCTTGACTTCCCTCATTTAATACGGAACATTTTTCATCCCATTCACCATAGGCTTTTCAGTTTGCAATTGCTTACTTTTATTTCCATATTCAGAAGGTTTTCTTAGCACCTTTTCAAGGCAAACTATTTCTGCTGTACTCATATTTGCAGCGGGTTTAACTTGCCCATCCCTTCTGAATTCCTCCTTTTGGAGAGTTCCAGTCAATATTCTGTGTTTGCTACAATTAAAGCTCTTCCCCCATCTCAACTTACTAAATCATTGTTCAAAATCTAGTCTAACTTGCAATGTAGTCCATTTATTATGGATGTCAGATTTTATAATTCTGGAATTTTCTAGCCCACCAGCAAATATTTTATATATGCATGTATGTATAATGTATGCGTTAAGAAAAGCATTGTACGTTTAAGTAACTAGACAGACTATTTCTCCGTGTCTGTATAAGGCCATGATTACACAGAGAGCGCTTTACCAAAGTGCTCCTAGGACTTCAGGTAGATGCAGTGTATACCAGCAATGCTGCAATGTTACTAGTATAGTTTATTCCAGCCCCCAAGCCACCCCATGCCAGTAAAAGCATCAGTATAACTGCATCTACACTAGGACCTTTTGTCAGCACAGCTATCAATCAAGGATCACACTTTACACCCCTGCCTGGCACAGCTATGCCAACAAAAGTAAGGTGTACACATGGCCTAAGAGAATCTTCCATACCTTGGGAAGGTCTTTTGAGAAACTTAAATACTTTCAGATATACTGACATGCGGTTTAACACTACCAACCCTCCTTCATTATATGCACTGTATTATCCCCTTGAGGGTTTAGATTATTATCACAATATAGTTAAACACTTTCCACTCAAACGACTTAACTATTTTTATAACCAACACCTCCTTGCATACAAAAAAAGTCACCAGACATCATGGTTTCAGAAAAGTGAGGTTTTTGTACAAGTCTTTAATAAAAAAAACAAAAATATATATATAATCAGGCATTTTATGCAATGCATACATTCTTTATATCTGCAGGTACAGATAAATAACAGAAGGCAGAAGCAAACATTTTGCTTATTGTTGGCAGTTAACCAATATCACCCCCTCAAGAGATATTATAGGGTCACAGAATAATACAAGTCTGTAAACTTCACATATTACAGAAAACATACCAGGCAACAATACAGTAGTTAGATTTCAGAAATTTAAGGATATTTTTCTTAATCACAACCCAGGGTTTAAATTTAATCTTTGTTGTTGCAAAAATTAAGGCCTGCTTTGGATGACAAATGTGTTTGCTAATTGAAGTGATGTTCCGGACTTATATTCTATCTAATCCATCCCTCACTCAACTTACTTCTCTTCACCACACATCAGCACTAATGAAAACTAAGCTGTACCTCCCCACAAAAAAAACTAACATAATTTTGTATCTGTGGATCAGCATCCTGAACCCCAACTAATGTACGTACAAAGCAGTTAAGCTTCTTTAAATCAATATTTGTCTAACTCAGTGTCCCAGAATAATAGCTATCCTTCTGCTTTACAGCACTGATGGCTCTACAGAAACAATATATACACGATATACACTGAATCAGAAAAGCAATTTAGAAGGTCCACTGATAACACAGCTGCTCACATCTACATATGTACATGTTTTCACAGTTAGATTTTAGAAAATTGTCTTGAGAACTTCAGAAATACTTCTACTGTATTTTTCTATAAATAATATTAAAAACTCCACTGTCAAAATGCAGGACAGATTTTTTAGATGTATCAAATTTAAATAGATCTTGAAAACTTGTAGAGTTTGAAGTTTGAAGGCTGTATAAAGCTTGAAGATTCTTTTAAAATGTACCAGTAATTTTACCAGTTTCAGCAGACTGGTCACATGCAAGGGATTTTGGGTTTTTTGGATTTTTTTTTTTTAAGTCAGGTAGGAAAGAAACTCCACCACTTTTGAAGGGACAGGCAGGTTCTTGACTTGGCTAGTAGGCATCACTCTTCTAATTGCCATGCGACACAAGTGTTGAAGACTGGACACATGTTTTGGAGTTGCCCAGAAGTACACGCTTCCATCATGCGTTCTGCACACAAACACATAAAAGTCAATTATTCCACAGACCTACTTTCAGAATTGCACACCCTTATAATTCGATAGTTGGGGGAAGGCCAGAGAAATCCTCTCCTCTAAACTACTTGTTCCCTAACTCTAGATGTTAAATAGCAAAGTTGAGCTTGCATGCTCTCTGCTCCTGGGATTTTGGGCTGGGGCTGAAAAAGCACCCAGCAGGTCTCACGCAGCTCTCTGACACTGAGCTGCTCAGACTATAAATAGCAGTGTACTATGCTAGGGAATTCAAGGGGCCTGTGCAGGGCTGCCTAGTGCAGTTCTCCTTGTGCAGGTATTCTCCCCTGGATGGCTAAAGGGCTTTTACAGCACTTGCACTGTGCTGTTGTAGTGTATATGGGTCAGGCCCACGTTTGTGGCTTGCTTGATCATTTCCTAAATATTAAAGAGAAATAAAGTGAGACTATGCTTGTTAAACTCTCGGTGGTGTTGAACTCAAGGCTTGCTTGACTAAGCTTTGATGCCTCCTTCAAACAATCAAAAGCAACAAAATGGCATTTAGAAATGAGGAAGCTAGAACGGTTAGTTAACATTTCCAAAGTCCTTTGAGGATGAATATTACTGCATAAGTTAAGTATTATTAGCTGTATACTTACCCAGCAGCTAGAACACTGCCATCAGTAGAAAAGGCACAGCAAAGCCCATTGTTCAAAGGTGCAACTTGTACAGGATAGTCTTCTTCAATACTCCAGAACCTCACCATTCTGGAAGGAAAAAGTTAGCTGTTAAAGATAGAGTAACCAATTTCTTTAATGCAGTACAATAATTTATGAAGTGTTAACCTAATTGAGAAAGAAATATATATTTATGTATTTATAATGTACTGTCTTCACTTGCAGTCATGTAGTCCAGTGGTTTTCAATCTTTCATTTGCAGACCTCTAAAAATTTTCAAATGGAGGTGTGGACTCCTTTGGAAATCTTGAACAGTCTGCAGACCCCCAGGGGTCCGCGGACCACAGGTTGAAAACCACTGATACAGTCAGATATAACTTTATATTTGTGCATCAGACAGATACCAATTCTCAAGAAATATAATGCAAGTGGTTTGAAGAGTTTGCAATAGACACTACAGACTTAGAAACAGCACGCCAAAAAAATTAGGTTACTGCAGCCAAAGAATTTTAACTGATGATCTGAAAGTGTAGATTGAGTCTCAAAACATTAGCCGATGTTATTTCTGCTAGGAGTTCTCAGTACTCATTTTAGCAAGCTACCAAAGCAAGGTAACAGAGTGTTTCCTTGCCTGAGACAGGATGACTTTCCTATCTTCAAAATCTTCTACTTTAAAAACTTACTTTATTAAGTCTTCATTAACAAAACCATATACAAGTACAAAAGTAAAACAGGATGACCCAAGTAACCATACTGATTCATTTTTTCAAGAAAAAATGTCAGACGCAGAAGCATGCTACTTCAATGATTTATTGAAATCACGCTAAACAGAGGGCCTTTATTTCTCCACCCTTTTACAAATATCTTTGTATATTTATAATGCTATTTAAGTCATCTACCCTGTACACCATCTCTTGTTTATTTTATATGGCTATGGGAGAGAGTTTACAACAGATCATCATTGAGACAGCAAGGCATTGGTACAAGCAGTCAGTTAGAAGTCAGTTCTCAGTTTAAAAAACTAAGTTGTGCGTAGTACAAGGAATTTTTAATTACTGGGAAGAAGCAAGAGTCTGACAACTCTTTCTTCATACTTACTTATCATCAGCAAGGCTTGCAATGTGCAGTCCATCGTGACTAAAAGATACAGATCTAACCCATCTGTCATTCGCTCCCCCAGCAAATATTGGAGTCGGAGCAGGAAACAGATGCCTGTAGACAGACAGACAGGCTCAGTTAACAGCATAACCATTGAAAACTATGTCGGAGTTTCTGTTAGCCATGATCAGCGATAGACCTCAAGAGTTTTTTTTACACACACATTTGTCTCTGAAGTATGAATTGAGAGATACTGCTACACTGCTCTATAAAGAACACCACAGTATTAGTTATATACTGAAGACACTTCCACTAGTAGGTTTTAAAGCACCAACGTCTTGAATTACACGTTTTCAATGACTGAGAAAGTACTCTCCCAGAACTGAGTTTCGAGCTAATTGTTCATCTCAAAAATAAATTTTCATGTTATAAAACTGGGGAATTAAATAACTACAAGATAGAGCAGTTTTCTCCCAGGGAATAAAATCTTATTGTTTGGTGCCAATATGGTACATCTCTCACCTTCTACTGTCCAAAGCTGATTTTTTTCTCATTTTCTAGTCAAGCAAACCAAGAAAGAATTATGGGACTGGAGACTTCAAGAGGTCATCTAGTCCAGTCCCCTGCATTCTCTTTCCAATTACTGTGCAATTAACAGGCATACCTTAGGTTTTTATAAGATCTTGAACCATTTTAGCAATTCTGTTAGTAAATATTAACTGGTTATGATTTGTGTAGGTTAAACTCATAATTCTTTGTATACTGAATACTCCCAGAATCCGGGCTGTATTAGCCCAAGTGTGTCTGGATTCTAAGGCCTCAGTGTCTGTTCTTAAACTGAATTGAGCATGTGACCAATGCTCAGCAACTTAATCAAGTATTGGGCTCTAATTATTCCCTGCTCCTGGACTCTTGTGGACTGAGAGGTGTCCAGGAAGGGACCCTTCTCAATTAATGAAGCATGTCTACAGAGGTACGTTATAATAAACAACACCGGGTAATTGATAAGGGGTGCTTATGATCCAATTACATCCTGTGACTGATAAAGGTATTTATTATTGCAGATGTTTTCTGTTATGAATGAAATAATGACCCATTGAAAGATATTTTTAACTCATTAGGAACTGCTGGTTGCCACAGCTGTCAGTAATAATGACTGGATTTGAAATCTGTCTCACATCCTATAACTAACTTCCCAAAAACTCTTTCCTTCTAGACGTGAACTGAAATACGCTGTCACCAATTCTCCGGTTACAGAGAGCTGGAACGTATGTTTCCTTCCAGTATAGTGCTATATTAAAGTATTGCTTGATTGTCTTTTTTATATAAATAAAACTTTAACTGAGTTAGTTATTTGACATATCTTATTAAATCCATACATGCAACAATTTCATAACTGTCACTCCTTGCATTTTCATTAGGTATAAACTATGGTCAGATCCTTTTGTAAATTCCAAGAGGGAACTAAAAATTAACACATTTAAATACTCTGCTTACCCAAATTCCATTAGAATAACTCCAATATGGGGATCCCAGACATAAACTCTAGTATCGTAAGATGCAGTAGCCAGTAAAGCTCCATCAGGGGAAAACTCACAAGCTACAACATCGTTGAGATGTCCTTCTAGTTTACGAATCATGGAGTACTTATCCATATCCCAAAGAAAAACCTGAAATTAGAAAAGCTAATGTTATAGCTTTTGCTCAGATACCCAATGCAGCATTTACATTTCTTAACTGTCTGCTAGTTTTACTTAGGTTTATATAAATCAAGCATTATAAATTACTACAATTAAAAATATGCTCGTGTCATACTGAGATTAAAATCAATTTTTTAAAAAAATTAAAGCAGACATGCAAATTCTAACTTAAGTTTGTTAAATGTTATTTACAAAATAAGCCAAAATATAAGAAAGGCAATGCAATTTAACCATGTAGTTTTACTGAAATCCATGTATTACAAAACTATTTTATTAAAATACACAGAAATAAATAGGGTTAAGCACTACAGTCCCCTCTTTTCAGTAACTACCAAATTTTTAAGAAATATACAGACAGAAAAAGTAAGGTTAACATATTGTTACTCCAGTGGCATCCCCTTTGAGTTTAAGATCACTTGTTTACAATACGCTTGGATCACCGTCAGCCTAGGAAGAGAAACAGATACTGCAAGCAAAGAGAATTTTCACAGCCAAAAGAAATGTCTTTGGCAACATAACAAGGAAGTCTAAGCACATTATTAAAAATTTTTTATGCATCTTAAGTTTAATTATATCAACAACAAAAACATTTGAGTATTGTGATTTACCCAGCTTACTGTAAATCTTACTACAGAAATTGGTAAAGTATGAGTATAATACTAATTTTGGGGGATTTTACATGCAGTTCTAAATTATATAAAACTGCACTGAAGACTGTGCAGAATAGCTTAATATGAAAGATCTACTATGTTTTAATGTAATGTTACAGAAAATAGGCTAACAATTTATGGGTACAAAACTATATATTAAATCTGTCCCTGTAAGTCCTCTTTAGGTCTTTCCTCCCCCCAGGTCAATTTTACTTGCAGATTAAATACTAACAATATCTCAGACAGATAAAATGCAAACAACTTAAGTTTAACCAAAGAAAATGGTATTAGTGCCTCACACACACTTCACTAAAATGAAACCATTTTTAAAGTCAGTTAGTTATAAGTATCATGTTGACCAGTTTCACTAATAAGACCCCAACATTCCATAAAACTGGAAAATAAAATTTAAGTTTTAGGAGTCATTGGGTTTCACTGCTGTGAAAATTAAAAAATAAAAAGAAAGAAAGAAAAAAGCAGAAAGTGGACATCAACCAGCACCTGCGTACGTACAGTACACCTTGCAGTCGAATGCAAGGTTACTTCGTCCTATGGTAAAGTTCGCCCCCAGCCTGGTAGCCAGAGATGCCACTCTTTCTGCCCAGCTAACACCATTGTGCGCCTGTGTGAGTGGTGCCAGCTTAACCTCAATCACACCAATATTGCTGCCACCACCTGTGACAGGGAAAGCAAGAAGCTTATGGAAAACACACAGCCTAAAAATATCAATGAATACATCCACATCTGTTCTATTTTAAAGGACTAAACTGTTCTCTATCAAATCTTAACTGTTAATTTACCAAACTTTTTTTAAAAATATAAAATGCATTCTAACAATTATCCTAGCTACTAGTCTTCAATGTTCACATTAATTATGGTTTTGCTAATCAATTAACTTTAGTATACTATTCATAGAAACTATATACTAGTCTTTTCCCTTTCTTCTATTTTATACTAATGAATAGTTTTTCAGTGCCAAGAAGAGCAGTTTATTGTAAAACGTGCTTTACCTGCACTGCTTTCAGTTCTCTAGCAGGACATTAGAATATAGATGGAAACAGAACCATATGCTGTTCTTCATTCTAGATGTTTTAGACATATGAGTGCTATTTGTATTTGAGAATATGTAGAAACATTTTTGTTCAGCTGAAGAGAACATGACCAGCTCAGACTTTGAAAAGTCCTTTTAATTGAGCAGGAAATAGAAAGGATAAAATCAACAGCAAGATAATTTGATTAAAACATTAGCCTACATATTCCATTCTTAACACTGCAAGTTTTACTTTCCTTGGTTTTTATTTTATGAACAGATGCAGATGTGCAAGCTACTTCAAAGGATGCTTAAAGTTTCTTCAACTAAAAGCAGTGCAAGTTCTCAGTTCATAAATCAGTATATGAAGGCATCTTAGGCAGTTTACTTCAATTTCTTTCATGCAACTTCTTGCATCATCATAAAAACATTAGAAGTTCATGACACCGAGCACAAGCTTTGTTTGTTACTTAGATTTAAAGTGATTATATGCACAATTCAATAATAAACTTATGAACAAGAAACTCTGACACATACTGCTTTACTGGCTCCAACGGAACACAGAATGGAAGAGTCTGGAGAAAAAGCACAGCCATACACCCAATTCTGGTGCCCTCTTAATACCTTCATCATATTTCCTGCAAAGGAAAAAATGGCAAAACTAGGAGCATTAGTTCCAGATTAGTAACCCCCAGGAATAGTCCAAATCCAGTTTTATTTAACATTTTATGCAAGAGATTTTTTGAAAAAGACACTGTACTGCTGTTCTAAACTCTTTTTTTGTTTTAAAGAGACTCTGGATGTATAAAAAAGTTACCTGCCATATTGAAATGGCCTCCGAACTCTGTACCTGGACCAGCAGGGTCAGCACACATACCATTGTAAATGGCCAGTGAACCTCAAATACATGCTCCTTGCTGAGGTGTAGATATAGTCTGCACTATATGGGATGAAGATTAAATGACTACTACAAGTGGGCTGAGGTCAATAAAGATTTAAAAATCCAAAATATACATTGATACTACTGCTGCTGACTGCAGAAAGACTGCTCTATGCTCTCCCAACAGGCGAATTTTAAAAATAAAAACAAACAAATAAACAAAAACAAAGCTATACCATCATCTTTCAGGTCCCACACTCTTAGCGTTTTGTCTCTTGATGCAGACACTAATATCAGGCTGCCATCTGGAGCAAAGGTTAAATCTCTGACCACTTCAGTATGGTCCATCAGATTAAGGAGGAGTTTTCCTGTTGCACAAGAACGATATCAATTAAGAGGAAGTGCATAGCCATTCTTTTACTCAAACTAAATGCCCACGAATAAAGCTTAAAGATAAAATTCCGTCCTCCTTGCCTACTTCTGGAGACTGGCTAGAGCAGAGATGTATCTAAAATATGTAACGAAATTAATCTTGTATACCTACTTCATAGTGATAAGATATATTTAATCTTTCAACTCTGACTAGGTCTGGAAAAGCTAAACTTCTAAAATCTATACACTAACAAGATTAGATGTCTGAGAACTAACCTAAGTGAATTACCTTTTAACTTTAGATGAATGCATGGTTTTGTTCTTAACTTCAAATAGCAAGTTTTCCAATAGCAACTTCCCTAATATTCATTAAGTAATTTCACTACTAAGTGACCAGGAGTTAGTTGCGGCCCAATTTAATGGTAATTACAAGTTAGATTGCAGGATCCTGTACCCACTTGTAGCTTCAAAGGTTATGACGATCAGCCTATTTTAACAGGATCAGTATTGCTCATAAAAAAAAGTGGGGCAAGCAATAATTATTTCTAAAAAATCTTCCCCATAACCAAAGTACTAAAGGAAACTCTTCCCTCCTGGAATGCTAGAGTTTTGCTTAAAAAAATTCAAGTGTCTCAAGTCAAGCACATACTTACACACTTTTATGGACTGAGGCCTAAACTAGTATTTCTTCCCCCATGCACCCAGTTCTCTGCCACACCCAAATGACACTTCTAAAGTGCATTTCAGGTGAGATTTCACAAAGCAATAACAAAACAGTAATGGTTTGGTATGTAATCTGCCATCTTAGCCCGGAGACACTAGAGCACAACCTGAACCATTTCTCTTTTCAACAGCATTTCCTTAATACAATTGTAGTTGCAAAGGTCCCTTCTATTTTTAAACCTAACTTAGTTCATTTTAACTTCACTTTTCAACTTAGCATTCATAAACCAATATATTTAGAATCTAGCTATTCTAGTTTATGATATAGCTACAATGCTGCATTGTTAAGTGACAATGGTAAGACATACATTTAAACAAGCTCCCGTACCTGTGTATGCATCCCATATTTTGATGCGCCCGTTGTTCAAGCCAGTTGCAAGCAGAAGCTGATCTTGCCCAAATTTGAATCGATGCCATTCTATGTTCACACAGCGACTCTGTTTTTCAGGCACTGAAGACCCAAAAGCAAGACTCCAGACTATATCGCCACAGTCAATTATATGCTCACAAGGCTTATTTTTTTGACCACTATCGCTGTTCTGTCTTGAGAGTCTTGCATTGACTGAATTTGCAACATTCTTTGTGCCATGCAACAAGCTGTAAAACAAGTCAGCATTTCAGAGATAAGCGTTACTTTATAAACACAATGAACTGAGTATTTTATTTCAATAAATCTATAGGCAGTCATAATACACATATCGCTACTGTATCTAAAATTAATACCTTCACTTAAGATTTTAAAATGACTGTCCCTTGTTCCTCAATTGTGAAGAGGGTTTGCCATATCTGAAAACCTCTCCCATTATAGCAATAAATTTTAGTTTCCTAATTCTGCCTCTGTACAGAGCAGTTAGCTTCTTTAACCCTTCATGAAAGATAACATTTTAAATGCTATACTTAAACTGAAAATTTTAGTGAGAATCTGAATGTATATTACAGTTAAGTATTTGAGTTGTTTTTTATATAAAAGACGGGGGCAGGGAGGGATCCTTTCTGTTCTGCTACAACTCACCAATATGCCCTTCAAAACACCACATTTAATTAGAAAAATCCTAGTAAGAGATATTGAAGCCTGCACACACTACTTAATAAACTGAGCACAGTGAAAAGAAAATGTATTTGCTATACAGGGAAATGCAGTTGTCAATCACAAAGAAGTAATTTACCAACTTCCAGATGGACTTAAAAGTGACCTGCAAATAAAAAAAAAACAGCACATTTTTATTTAATGATGTGCTGCAAATATGCTGAGAATATTCTGCTTGTTTTTTAAGCTTAGAGATACCAAGAATATAAGGTCATGTTTCCTGATTTTGTTGGAGAACCAAAGAACTGGAGTGGGAGTTCTCCGTCCTCAACTGAAGAGGTAGGCTATCTGAATCTCTTAAAAGAGCTTCTCTCTCAGTGTTTCAGGAAGTTGATCTGGTGTTAAACAAAAAGTACAAGTTTAAAATCACTTCCTCTCTCATTGCACAAGTCTGACTTTCACTTGTGGTATCAATAGTTCTCCCATTGTCCATTGACTCCTCCTACTTATATAAAAGTCAAGACAATTTATAGATAAAAACCCAAATAACCCAATCTCTCATTTATACATCTTAAAGAAGCAAAAACAGCACACCATCATGTTTGTTTATTTGCAGGTCACCTCATATTTCTTTTACAAAATGAAGAAATAGGAGAAAGTGAATTTGATAGCAAACAGCACAGTTTTTAATCTTACAAGTTATTAAAGCATTGAGTCCAGGGAACAAGCTTTACTATGCGATGTCCTTGTGACCACGCAAAGTAAGATCCATCAGGTGCAAAGGCAACAGTCCAGTTTTCACGTCCACACTTCTTATCAAAAGGAGATGTTGGGGCTAAAAGTTCTCCGATAGGACGTGATCTTGCTAAAAAACAAAAACAAAAAGGAAATCCCATTTAAAATGTGAACAAGAGATTCAGCATATTTTAAACTTATTACCAAAAACGTAGAGATTTCTGCTGATATTTTTGCTTTAAATCAGAAACTAATTTTAGGGTAGAAAATGGCTGCGTCACAGCTATTCATTTAAAGTCTTCCTTAGAAGCGACTGCAAAAACTTCTGGTCATTAGACAGCAGAAATGTACTTAAATAACCAACAAGAAAACCACATCTCAAGGTAATATGAACCCAGCTGAAAACTCATTTATGAGTCTGTTGAAACTATTATTGAAATTACTCTAACCTCCAGCATTACAGATAGCACCAAAATTTGTCTCTCTCAATTCAAGCAAATATTTCAGTAGAGCTGAATAGAAAATTTACTTGGTGAAATTTTTAGTTTAACATTAAGTGTGTGCAAAGTCAGTTACATTGTGTCTCATCACCCTACATAAACAAAACACCACCACTGATGGATTGTCAGGCAAATGGGAGACACATTTTTATACCAAAAATTCCACTCAATCCCACTTATTTCTAGTGAGTATAGCAGAAGAAACTAGCATCGGGCAATCAGATTAATAAATATTTTTCTTATTTACTGGACTCCAACACAGAATATCTTCTCCCTCCAATTTAAGTGGAGTGGCAGTTTTAGTGTCCTCATTACACTAGCCAACAGATTTAAGAGGACAAAATAATGCTTTTCGTCAAATCCATTTTTACAAATGCAAATTTAAAAGGAATGGGTACAAAAAGATCACACATGGTTGTTATGAAATTTTAAAAATGTTTATTAAACATGCAAGTGTTTGTTATGGATTTACAATGTTCCTACTTCAATATCAACTGCCTTGGAGCTTGTGCCTCCCTAATATGAATGGAAGGAATTGTACAGCAGCCCTGCCCTTCATGAAGGGATCAGCGCCCCAGGCTGGTTTCTCACGTGCTGTCTGTATTCATATAGCAGGGAGGCGTTTCTGTGAATACATGAGAAACCCAACACATGCAATGGCAGCTATTAACCATTCCCAAAAAAGAAATGAACGTTGGCAACAGTGAAAATATGTATTTATACAGCGTTTCGTGGCTTAAACAGGGACTGTTTTAAAAAGCCACCAATAGAAAGTGTCCAAAATAGCTAAACAAAATATATATATTTTTAAAATTAGAAATCCCTTGTTATCCCTTATCATCTGCAGGTTTTTTTTTTAATATTACCAAAAATAAAACTTCACATAAAATGTGCACTATTATACATACTCCACAATTTTTTTTACAAGTGACAAACACAATAGCTTTAACAAAAGAACCACGTTGTCAGACAAACAAACAATCCATTTTTTACTTATGAAGTTGACTGAAATCTGTATTTCTATGATTTCACACAACTAGCAGCCACCTCTTATTTCAAAACGGAAAAGGCAAGGACAAAGACTTTGCCAATCAAGACTGCTGCATCGAGTTAAATGGAGGCGTTGACATGCACAGTCTGAAAACTGCTCTGTAGCTACGTGTCCTTCCCCCTGTCGTAGAGTACATACTGTAATGCTCTCCCCTCAGCCCTAAGACATCTCAGGATGCTCCGTAATGTGCTCAAAACATTTGCCCCCCATGGGCACTGGCTGGACCATCCCAAACCAGCGACCACATTATAGATTCTAACGCGGCGGATAGCTTTTATTTTTTGCAACCACATAGCTAGCAGCCTATAGTACCTTCACACCTTATCAATAGCCAACACTGCCTGGGTTCCTCCTTGGTATCCACCCCCACACCCCAATCTCACCATCCACTCTCAGACTCCTGGCAAGGCCCCTCTCGCTACCCAACACCTCATCCCACTGCGATCCAGGGAGCGCCCAACCCCACCCACTCCCTCCCTGCAAGTCACGATGTATTCCCCCCCCCCGCCCCTTCTCTCCAGAGATTCTCCCCTTGCTAACTGGCTTCCCTCCAGCGGGCGTGTCCCCCACACCTAAACTCCCATAACCCAACCCCCCCAGAACCCCCATCCCCACCCACATTC